ACTATTACGTTACCATTACCATCTTCAAATCAGAATTTTATTATTATGCAAATAAAATATGCTGTGATTTATTATTATGTTTGTTTAGCTGTTTTTTCGTAGCGCGTAAAGCCCGATTACGCGTTGTTTAAACCTTTTTACGTGTTAGTGTTGGCATTTCCAGTATATCCACTAATATTGTAGATGACTATCAGGCGCACATGCTTCCGATACCGTTACACAGAATCTCCAAAATGCGATAGAAGTCTTCGTACTTCGATTTTCCATTTTGCTTTTTATGCTTTTCCCATAGTCTGAATACGGTTGAAGACAATACTACTAATCACAGTGAGTAAACCCTTATAACAGGAACCGCTACTCATTTATAAATATACTGACTATTTAGTCGCATACACGACACCACATAGCCATATACTCCGCATACAGCCTTCTGCTGCTCTAACACACTTCCCTTCACTTCTCAATCAAGAACCCTAACGTAGCTCCTCTCTTCTAAAAACTTAACACAATTGGCAAGAAATGGATAATAGGTCTTCTGAGGAGCCAGAAGCTTTACAATCCCTACAAGCCAAATTTGCTCTAGCTGCCAATACTGTTGTCGATCTCTATCGCGAGGGACAGAGACAACGAGATAGCGCGTATAAAAGGGGTTATGAAAAGTGTCTTCTTGATATTATGGACTTTTTAAACACACACCCTCATGTGCAACAACGGCAAACAGGGGCAAGTGAGAGAATGGTTGTCGATTTGGAAGATTTAGTAAATTGGGCGAGAGCAAAGCATGGACAGTTACATGGGGCGTACGCACAGAATACAGAGGATAGTGTGAATGTGAGTTGATGTAGGAGATCATAATGTAGTTATTAGGAAAGGGATAACATAATAAATAGTTATGTAGTTTACGATTGTAAATGTATAATAAATTAGTAAACAGTTGTAATACATAAATTTTCATTTCTGTATTTCTATATTCACTGCATTTCGCTATTTCTTCTGATAGGGACAGTCACAACAACTTGCAATAATACATCAATCTCAACCGCAACAAGCTTCCATACAACAACCGCAACCACCATCGTCGTCTCAATCATCCCAACTACAACCATCCGAAAATACAACACACTCCTCTGCTTCTGACCATGAAATATCCACTTTCCCACATCAAACGCTGCATACCAATTCACATCAACTATATTCACAGTCAGCGTTGTCAGGAACGACCTCCTCTTTTCAGACATTTCCAACTGCTTCAATATTTGATTTTACTATGCCACAACATATGATGGTATCTTCTAGTCAGAGAGAGATTGAAGCGATAAGCGTAGGACAGGACGGAGGTATCGGAATATGGGGTAGTGCTGGGGAACTGAAGCGGAAGTTTGGTGGAAACGAAGTTGGTTTTTTGGGTAAGAGTATTCCTGTCGAGGGTCTTATTGAGATGCCTAGTAAAAGGAGTAGGATCAGAAGAGAGGAGATCGGATTTGAACGATGAACGATGGGAGGTACATTTAACATGGTAATGGACTGATGTGCATGTAATAACGGACAGCACAGTGAGCGTGTGAAATTGAGAAGGGGAAGTGAGGGAAAATGGCGAACCGAGGTTAAGTGTAATTATAATGGAAATCGCCGCTATATTTAGATGTTTATAGTGGTTTTCCTGTGAGATTATTGTAATGTTTATTGAGCGAGGTGAGCGACAAGTGTAAATAATAATTAAAACATATGATATCATACGTTATCTCCTAGTTTTGACGTCTTTCGTCTTTCGTCTTTTAGCAGTCCACCGCATACGCTAATTGTAATTTCCCTTACTTTGTAGGTGGGATTGGAGTTTACTTATAATTTGCAAATCTCAAGAATTGTACATTTGTTGTCTATTCATTAGAGCGGCACAATAAACAAGTTCACAATATTAAACATTTCTCGAAAATATTTTATCTAGTCAACAATTCCTAATTATAATCGTTTTCAATTAAAATCTTCCTTTACTACGTAATCTCACACTTGGACTTGTTCCTCGCTTATTCCTGTTGATTGAACGTTGTTGTACTTGACACACTTGTAAATGAAATTATGATGGCAACATGTTGATAAAAGCATCTTCTCAAATTGTGCAAAATCTGGAGCATACATTTATTCCTTCTATTATGAGTTATAATTACTCACAGAATATTACCAAATCTAGTATCGATATCAATTGATTATTACCACGATACGCGCCACGTGCATTTGTGAATAATGTCATGTCAGAATATAGCTGATATTTGTTCCCGACCGCGGTGAAAACACTTTCGTTTAAATAAACATTGCAACGTGCTTCACCTTTACTGACGACTAATTGCTACGCAATTATCAGTAATTTCTTGTGCATGTTTTTTCTTGCGAGTCCCTCGATATGTTAGTATAATCAAACAATCGATTATCAATTCGGGCACTTTCAATTATATGACTTGCACTATTGGACCACAGTGAGATTTAGGATAGAGTTTGAATATATTTGGAACGAAAAAAAGTAAGAATTAAGTAAAAGCTTTGATAAATTTTCTTTGCTATTTCGATGATTATACTGCCAATAAACTTAATAAATCGAACGTCAACCCCGCTCGAGCTCGAATATAAGTAATAGAGGATTGACTTGTCTGAGAATAATATACTATATGCCAGATACAAAATTTCAAACATAAACAGAAGAGATTCTGCATCATTATTATTATCACGAATTAAATGTTCCCTTGTAGAAATACGCGCAATACTAATACTAATAGTCCATATGTGATCTGCACGGGATTGAGTAACACAAAAAAATAAAGCGGGATGTCCCAAGTTTTAATCTACATCGCTCTTCCTTATGTCTGACGAGCAAGTGCCTCCAACCGTTGAAAGTAACGACGTAGAAGAACCATTCGATCTTGTTCGTCTATCTCTTGACGAACGAATATACGTCAAGTTACGTGGTGATAGAGAACTCCGGGGCAAATTGCATGTATGTTTTTGATGTGTTTTCTCGAGTTGAAATTTGTATATGCTCAAGTCAATTCTTCGGTTCACGCATTCCTATTATGCTATAGGCATATGACAGTCACCTTAACATGGTTCTTGGTGATGTTGAAGAGACTATTACAGTAGTTGAAATGGATGAGGAGACGTATGAGGAAGCTGTTAGGGTAGTACTTTATATGGAATCAATAACAGACATGTTTTTTCACTGTTATTGACGCTACTTTTATATTTTTTAGACTGTAAAAAGGCAAATGGAGATGCTCTTTGTGAGGGGAGACGGTATTATATTGGTATGAGTAATGTTTATTTGAGAATGATGAGGTGAATGTAAGAGAACTATGCGATTGATAATCCCGCAAATTGTAGGTATCACCTCCCTCAAGAACTGGAGACGAATAAAAACAAAATGAACATGTTATAACATCAGACTGAATATGCACTCCACCTGAATAGAAATTCTGATTGCATGTATGATAAATAATGTAAAGTAAATAAACAATAAATAAGATCAAACCCAGATGCCTTCGTAAATGCTTAATAGCCAGAGTCTCTTGACTTCAATAACGAGGTCTAATGTATAATTACGTGTTATTAATGCCAGTATAATTGTGATGTACGTTTTTTTTTATTGAATTCGCCAACAGA